CACGGCTCACTGCAACCTCGAACTCTTGGGCTAAAGTGATCCTCCTGCCTCAGCCTAGCTGGGACTACAGGCGCACACTACCACCCCCAGCTAATTTCTTCTATTTTTTTGTAGAGATGGGAGTCTTGCTCTTGCTCAGGCTAGTCTCAAACTCCTGGTCTCAGGCAATCCTCATACCTTGGCCTCCCAAAGTGCTAGGATTACAAGCGAGAGCCACTAGCTCGGCCTACATAAAACATTTTGACTACAGTTATTCAATCACCTCACTTCAGAATACTATAGTAAGTTGCTAAATGGTTACAAAAATAATTAAGAGATACAAATAGAATGAAAAGATGATACCAATTGTGCATATGAGGGTCAGCAAAGCAGATATTTTTTTAAAAGCTGAAAACTTTAAGTTAACAAAACCTAAGAGAAAATTACACTAAGTGCCTGGTCTTTATTTCTCTCCTCAGAATTTTTACTGTGTGATTTATTATAAGCAATTTAAACATCATTGGGCGGGGAGGGTGTTGCAGAAAAAAAGGTAGGTGAAGTCAATTATTTCTGAAGAAATTTCCTAGACTTCTACGAGAAAAATGGTGTGACCCACAAAAAAAGGATTACAAGGGCAGAGGCAGTCTTCTCTCATTTACTCGTATTCATTCGCCATTCATGCATGCAAGCAAGATACAAATATTTACTGATCAACTATTTTCTGCTTTGTACTACAGAAGTACAAGAAGGACTTCTTGCATGATCCTCTCTAATTAGAGCTGTGTGAATTTTCATAAATTATATAATTACTTTGAGTTTCACCACCTGTAAAAATTGGACAATAACCAATATCTACTTCATAGATTTGCTGTGCAGGTTAAATGGGATGAAAGGGGTCTACCTTCAAAAAAAAAATATTAGTACCCCTCTCCCTGCAGGTCTCCCTAGAGATTAGGATATTTACCAGTGGTTCCTAACCTTTCTATGAAAAATCTCTGTTATTCTCCATGGATTCTATGTCTTTAAAGATTTTTACCTACCAACTGCATTGACATTTTATTAGCCAGATAAGTAAAGGCTAATCTCACACTGTCAGACATAAAAACTAATGAAACTTTGGCCGGGTGTGGTGGCTCATGCCTGTAATCCTGGCACTCTGGGAGGCCAAGGCAGGAGGATCGCTTGAGCCCAGGAGTTTGAGGTTGCTGTGAGCTACGCTGACGCCACGGCACTCTAGCCCCCGCAAGAGTGAGACTCTGTCTCAAAAAAATAAATAAATAAAATAAAAACTAATGAAACTCAATGCTAGATTCTTGAGAGGCAAGCACAGTATTTTACTTCATTAACAACGTGCAAGTCACCACAATGTACGGTAATGATTTGAGGTAATTAGCCCCAAAGACTTGAGTCAATATGATTACTGGTCAAAGAAAAGATGTACAATATTTTACCTGTATAAATCTATTTAGAGCAAATATACAATTTTCATAAGACTTTTTATAATATTAAAAATAATTCCTTCCTATCTCTGCAGACCCCTAGGAAATTCATGATTTATGGACCCTACGTTAGTGATTTTGTATGTCTACAAAAACTGGTTACCCTACAGATTTGTTTCAAATCAGTATAATTAGTAATGCATCTTCAAATTTGAACATTACACATATTTATCCATAAAGAGAAGCAATGTTATTCAGTGTCCTCCCTTTATATTTATAAGAACAAAATCCAAACCCTTTCCCAGGACCTATGTGATTTGCTCCCTACCAACTTCATCTACTAGTCTCTTCCCAGCCTCGTGGTAACGAAGACCTTCTTGTTATTCTTCAAACATGACTACCTACTTCCCACTTTAGGGTCTTTGTGCCAACTGGGCCCTCTGCCTGGTTCCCTCTTCTTGCGGGTGTGTGGTGTTTTGTCATTCAGGCCCCACATTAAACATCACAACCTCAGGGAGCTTTTCCTCTACCAACACTCCATCACTCTATCATTTTATCTTGCTATAGTTTTTTCATGGCATTTGGGTCCTCTGAAATGATCTTATTTACTTGTTTGTTTACTGTTTCTCTGTACTACCACCAACTCTTCACTGATATAAAACACTCTATGACAGCCCATCTTATTCACTGCTAAATCTCTGGTTCCTAGAACAGTACCAGACACCCAATAATCACTCAATAAATATCTGCTGGATGACTAACCAAACTGTTTAATATTATTTTGGGGGAATAACTTGTTTCTTAGTCAAGAACTTACACATAGCATTCAAAATTGCTGATTTAAAAAGAATAAGAAAAAAAACTTTCCATAAATAAGAAAATGCACACAATATTCTATTCAATCAGTGGGTTTCATTTTCTTTTATTTTAATCCTTCGAAATAGAAGGATATAAAAGTCTCTTCATGTTTCAGACTCTTCATATGGCACCTCATGTAAAACTTGAATGAACTACCTTCTAATAGTATACCATGAACTACTAGCTACTTATCTAACAATTTATTCTAGCGAAGACGCAAGCAGGTTTCTAAGAATGTAAGACATATAGAAAGGCCATCATAGTGACAGTGCCAGCCAGAATGGCCCAAATCAGGGAATATCCTGTTCTCTTAGCTATTGTTTGAGGGCGCTAGTGGAGATACGGAGAGATAGCAATCAGTACTAGGAGAACGATTGTAGCTCTGATTTCTGTTGACAGATAGGCAGAAATATTGTCAAACCTATCCAAAATAGACTCAACTGGAAGCTTACAGTTTGTGACATTAAATCATTACTTTGAATAGCAAATGAACTCATCATTCAGTTGACCAGATGTGGGCTTTTGTAGTTTCACATAAGAAAAACACAGTATTTGTAAAACAGTAACACATACAATCTCCAACTCTATTTGCTACATTTGCTTATTAATTTAAAAATATTTTCAAGATATCTTCAAGGATACTTTAAAAGGCAAGAGATCTGAATAAAAATAACTAATAAATAAGGACTTTATTTTTGAATTTGGACAATATTTGAAAACTAAAAAATGGTAACATCTTAGAAGTATCACAGCCTGAATATTTAAAAAATTGGGGGTTGCATCTTTTCATGACTGCAAGATAGTGAGATAATTCATAGCTCATATGAGTTTACTGATCATTCAAAAAGAAATACTATTAATATCAATCTTTTGGCTACCTGGCTTGTATAATATTCAGCCAAGTGGAAAGTACAAGTAGAGACACGATGACTAAAAATGGCATCTACAGACTCATTTTTTTTTTAAATTAGGAAATTAAGGGATAAGAAAAAAACAAGAATACTAACTAAAAGTAATATTTTTTCTAAAGATCACACACTCAATTTCCTATTTTTTGTTGCTCCCCCTTTCACTGCCTTTAATATTCTACGTTGCTTAACAAACAAGAAGTCTATATTTCACTTCTCATCACTTCTGCTCATACAACTGGTATTTTTAAAGTGTAGCAGTAATCATAAATGTTATAAAAACCACATATACAGAAGAATTTCACCTTACAGTTAAGAGTTTTAAGATAATACCTCCAGAAATACAAAGTTTAAAGTAAGGATTCCCTATGTTAACCAAGAACTCAAAATGCTAACTAAATAAAATTTCTGCAGGAGACTGTACATATGTTTAAAAAAAAAAGCATAAACATATGCTTTTCACTGATGAAATGATAGGAATCTTTTACCCTTCAATTAAAAAAAAAAAAAAGGTAGTTAACAACCAAAACGTACTGACTCCTATCTTCTTGCAAAGATTGCCTAAGTGTATGTGGCCTAGATGTTAAACTCAGACTGATTCTCTTAAATTCAATTTCCAAATTGGTTACACAGATCTTTACAAGGGTGACTCCCAGCAGTTGTCCTAAAACTTTCCCTCTTGTTTTCCATTAGACCTTCAGATCTTGCCTTACCTCTGTTATTAATCCATCCTCACTGTCTTCAGTCTTTTCCTTCCTCAGTGCATTCTGTACTCTATGACCAAATTCCTCTTACTTTTGATGAACGCTCATATCAAGTCATTGTCCTCATACCAAAACTTCCTGTGCTCTTGAATAAAGTTTACACCAAGCATTCAATGAGTTACAAAGTCTAGCCCCAATCAATATGTATGGCTTGATCTCCATTATTTTCTAACTATACAAAAGCCTAGGCTCTGTCAAACAAATCTCCTGTCATCCAACTACACCCAGCTACTTTTTATCTTGGCACATGCCATTCCTACCACAAAGAACATCCACCATCCCCTCCCTCTGCCATTGCTCACCATGGCCCATCTGCATCTCTGTATTTATTCATGCAAACAAGGACACAAAAATGAGATATTTCCTGCCCCCTAGGAGACTGGCAGAAAAAACAAATTTAACATAAACAGTTAGATTTTATTAAATACCTACTGTGTGCCAAGCACCCTTACACATTATTTCTAATCCTCTCAACAATCCTTTAAAGTAGGTATTATCATTCTCCTTTTAAAGATAAGAAAGCTAAGGTTTAGAAACATCAGATCATACATGTATTCAGTAAGTTGCCTCAAATCATGTACTTAGTAAGTGGCAAAGCAAGGATGTGAACCCAGGCTGCCTAATTCCAGAGCCATTGCTCTAAACATTAACAGTTATTCAATTTTTTTTAAAAATCAGAACCATGTGACTACTCACCTTATCTATCTGAAACAATTAGTTTCACATTATATTTCTACTTACTACATACTATATAACATGCTTTCTCATGTTTGTAGTTTTAGTAAAAGAAGAACATTAAAATTTTATTTCTCTCCAAAAAAAATGATGTTCAAATTGCAACTTCAATCCAATGTCTTTTGTCACAAAGGTTACTTTTACCAAAAATATTTTTAAAGAAACTCTTTCCAACCAACTTTTTGGAAGACAACTGCAAATTACTAGTCATACACTATGAAGGTTTTACAGCTGATTAATAATACGAGGAGTCTGTGATTACCACCCCAAGAATGTAACAGATATCTATCAAATTGGCAAAGATTATAAAAACTGACCTACTCAATGCCATTGAAGGTGCAGTGAGACACACACTCTTATACACAGGGTAATCACCCTCTGATCCAGTTATCCCACTTCTGGGAATCTATCCTATAGGAAGAAAAACAAAAACAGAGATGCAATCAAAGATAAATGTATAAAAATGTTTGCCCCAGTGTTATTTAAGATAGTCATATTATAAAGAATCAACCTTAAAGTCCCACACTAGGAGACCAACATCCCATTCAGGGAAAAGAGGTAAGATCGAAACAGTATATATAAAGGTATAATTCCAATTTTTATAAAAAATTTAAAATTTGTACATGCAAGGGAAGAATTGGAAAAATATACATTAAAATGTTAGCAATAATTTTCTCTGGATGATGGGATCATAGACAGTTTTCAATTTCTTCTTTACACTTATGTTCTTTTCAAAATTTGTCACAATGTAACATGAAATACTTTAAACAGAAAAAAAGAAGTTTAAGCAGTCATACCCACTGAAAATGATCCTGAACCTAACAAGGGCATATTAGTTGGAATAGGAACTATATTTCCTAGTGCAAAGAAAACCTCAGATTTGTTTCCACCTTCTATTATGTTCATGTTTACTTTCAGATTGTGTAAAGGATGTCATCCAAAACTCAGTAATACCTGTATTTACAAAACTACACAAGGCCCACTATCTCAAAGTCAGCCAATGTGCCAAAAGCAAGCATCACAGTTAAGTGGACTGAAAACTATATATATCTACTGAGAATAATAAATGTCTAATTAATCCTAACTCAAAACATGCAAAATGGAAAAACCAGAAAAACTATTCTCATTTTGTGAACTAAACTAAATATACTGTTGTTGCCTTATAAGCACATCATAATTAGGTCTGGAGTGGGGAGAAACTTAAAACTGGCAAGCTACCAACATTCACTAAAAATGCACATTGGTGCATTCTATTTGTACATTTCTGTCCTAGCTGATAGTTAACTTTAGAGTCACAGGACGACTTTAATCAGTGTAGAAAAAATATTAACAAGCTGTTCTACAAAAAAAGTCCCACAGCATTAAAATCGCTAGCTAAACAAGGAAACAACTTCCCTACAATGTGATAAGTATATACGTGTGTGCGCGCATGCAAAAGAACAATATACAAAAAAAAATGTCTTGGACTGAAGTAAAATAGGCAGAGCAAACAGTTCTCATTTTACTATGTTTTAAGTAACTGGGAAACTGATGTGCTCTAATACTAAGAAGCTACTAGAAAATAAGACCACAGAAATAACTGTTTAACAACTAAGGGAGAACTTAAAATAGTCACAATGATTTTACTTAGAATATGAATATCATTTTACTTTTACTCTGCCATGAAAATGCATTTATTTACAAAACATATGTAAGGCTCTAGCAAACAAATTACTAGACTATAAATTCCTTAAAGCAGAAACTACACCTTTAGATCTCAGTGTCCATCAAAGAGCCTAATTTTGGGGTCACTCAAAACATCTGTTCCAAGATTGAATCTGAAATCTATTAATGAAATTATGCGACATTTCCACAAGCATACAATGGGATTTAAAGGGCAGTTTCAAAGGCATCAATAGATTTGGGATAGATGTAAACTACATAAAATTCAAAGATTAGTGTTAATTTTCGAATTCTACAATAATTAACTTCGTGGTTGCTTGCTTAATGTTTTATAATATAGCCAACTTGTGTAGAGCAGAATGATCCTATTTATAAACGAATTTTAAAATATCATTGAAAATACAGTGAATAAATATACTCTCCAAATTACACATCTGACATAACTGAAATGTACGGTTTGCAATAAGAGATTTCCTACTGCTAACTTAGAGTCATGCAAACTGCGTTTGGGATTTGTCCAAATAGTTGCATCCAGTTCTTTGCACCTCTCTTTATAGTTTTGTCTTTGATAGCTGAACCACAGTCTATCATGAGCAAAATTATTTTGTATATCCAGAATAAGTGGGTATAGCACAGAATTACAAAAAAACATGAATAACACAGGTGTATATACTTGTGAGTTTAAGGTAGGGTGTTTCAAGTTTTAATTAATCCAAGAGTATCCTTTATCAAGTTATTTGTAGTTCAGTATATTCCTGTTCTTATGAAATGTGGCCTAATTTAAATATATTCTGAGACCAATCATGGGATTATACATTTAATTTTAAATTTGGTTACCTTTAACAATCCATGTGTTGACCCACTCTCTACCAATGTGAAATAAACAGGCTAGAGATAGGAAACACTGGGAAAACTGGAGTGACTTATAAGGATTTTTTCAGACCTATATAGCCTAAATAAGTCATCAGGGCTTTTAAAAAAGCCATTAACTTGTCTAACGATTGAAATTTATTTCACAAAACATATTAATCTTCCATGCATGTATATGTCATGCACTTTTGAAAATTATATTAAAAGGATTATTTTTAGGCCACTTATAAAAGCTCACCATTTCCTGTTTCAACTCTACCTTAATAATCACACACAATTTCCTTTTTTTATTGGGGGGGGTGTATGTGCATGCTTGTACCTTCTACCTCTAAACGGCCTATTTTCAAGTGGAAATGAGAGCATGGCACAGTTCTCTGTTGAACTGCTTTGTTGATCAGAACATCATGATAATGAACAAAGCTAAGCTTATAGGTTCAATACTCATCTGGATCATTTAACTCTGAAACAAACTGCCCTCTCAACCAGTCATCTCAAAACTGTGTGCCAAGGGAGAGTGTGAATCATTCAGGGCAGACCCATAAACACTATTATAATACAAAAAAATCAAAATGTAAATGGACCAATATTATCTTTGTATATGAAAGACTGAAAAGCACATTAAAACTATCACTTGTAATCCCCAAATTTCATGCACATAAAAAAGGGGAAAAAGAAGAAAAAAAATGGATGATTCATCTATTTCGGTAACATATGAAAGCCTAAATACTTTTGTTTAATGCTAAACTTTTTCAAAAGATGTAAATTTGGCATTAAGTCATGCAAAAACTATGGGATATCAGAATGAGCAAAAAATACTTGGAGATACGCCATAACTCTTTTACAACTGATTAATTGTAATCAATTAATTGTTATGATTCATTTAATTGGAAAGGAAACATTAGGGGAAAGTAAGCTTATGTTCACAATTTCAAATGCACCACAATATTAAAAGATAAATGCTTTATATGAGTTATTTTTATTGAATATCTAAAATAAGAGAATTTTAGAACTGGTAGCCTAGAAATTATCTGAGGTCCAATGAACATTTACTGTGTCCTTAGCACATATCAGACACACAGCTAGGTGCTTTCAGGGGACTCAATTAGTTCAACCTGCTCCCTTTTATAGACGTTGAAGCTCCCCGCTTATGCCAAATCAAGCCATCTAGGTTTCAGAACCAGAAATGCTGAACAAAGCCCTCACAGTGGTATAATTTTCTATCAAAACAGACTGGTATCATCTCCCCTAAACTAAATAAAATTTCAAAGAAGCAATGCCGACCTTATTTAACAAAAACAATAGTCTCTGTTTTCTGAATAACTATGAAGAATTTCAACAACTTAAAAATTCAATGAGAGTCCTCAACTAAGTACCTGTTGCATAATTATTGCAAAGAACAAAATGTGGGGCTCTTAGCTATACGATTCTAAAATCATACAAAACAGAAATTAAGTAAATTACAAGATACCATTAAAAATTCCTTTGTAAAAAATAAACAACAGTAATTACCCATATGAAAAATTGGCTGCCTACCTGAAATACCTATTTTATATAAAAGATCATCAACCATATACTAACAAAGTCCATAGGTAACAAACATTGGCTAGATTTGGAGTTATTTAACTACTACATATTACCACAGACTGTAAAACTCCCTGAGGGCAGAAACCCTGCCTAATTCATCTCTGTATCCAATAATTAGCACCCTGTTGTTAAATGTTGGAGAGAGGTGAGCTAACATATGACCTCTAAATGTAAGCTATTGAAAAATTCAACCTAACAATCTAAAAGATGTCTTTTTATGACTGAAATTATTTTTAAGTGCTAAATAATAATACCCAGTGCAAATGATATTAACATGAAATTTATGCTCAACAACTGTGGCTGTCAAAACTAGTATAACCTACTCTCTGAAGGCAATTCAGATACACACCAGAAGACAAGTATATTCATACACTTTGATCCAGTAGCCCTTCTCGAAATGAATCCCAAGGAAATATTCCAAAAGAAAGAAAATGTTGCATATGCACGTGTTCACTTCATTATTTTAGTAAAGAAGGGTAATCTGTTATGGAGTTAGAGAAAAAAAAATAAAGAAGGGAAAAAGGAAACTACCTATATGCCCAATAGCAGAAGGATAGACTATTTTGTAATCACTGAAAAAGGATAGAAATGAAGATTATTAACCTCCTAATTGGTCTTCCTGCTTCCACTCTTGCCTCTCCCCACCCCAAGTTGATTTCCACACAGCAGCCAAAATCATGCTCACAAACTTAAGTCAGAACAAGTCTCTCTTCTACTCAAAACCCTCCAGTGGTTTCCCACCTCATCCAAAGTAAAATCCAAAGTTCTTACCAGGGTCTACAAGCCTTGCAGTGGCCCCAGCTACTTCTCTAACCTCAAGATCTCTCACTTTCCCTCTTGCTTACTGGCCTCCAACCACACTGGCCTCCTAGCTGTTCTCAAAAAGCGCAAGTACACTTAGGTGTCTTTGCACTTGCAGTCCTCTCTGCCTGGAACCTTCTTCCCTAAGAGAGTGCACATCCCTCACTTCCTGTAGGTCCCTGCTCCAGTCTCAGGTCTTCCCTGACTACCGTGCCACTGTTTCTCTTTCTCCCCCAACCCTACTTTAGTCTTCTGGATAGCTCTTATCACCTGACATATTCTATATTTGGTAATGGCCTGTCTCTCCTGATTAGAATACAAGCTCTATGATAGCAAGGACTTTGTTTTATTCACATAGTAGGCATTCAATAAGTGCTTGCTGAATCAATATTGAATGTTGATACGATATATTAAGTACATGAAAAACCATGTATATGAATAAGCTTGAAAAGGAAAAATGAATAGTTTGATTTGTGAACATTTTCAAGTGCTGATCATATTGCTAAAAAGTAGTTTGTACAATAAAAACCGTAAGTCAGTTGTGATCATGATTTTAAGCAGCCAAAAGTTACTGGAAAAATCTTGTTCTCAAAGACCCAACGTTTAGTCTTTAAATGTAGATACTGTCACTCCTGAGCCTGTACAAAGAATGAACAAAGACTTTTGAAGAGTTTTAATATGAAATTGCATAACACTCAGGGATTCCAGTTCCCTTCTAAGACAGGTGTCTATGGTTGGCTTCAGAGGGTCCCTAAAACTGAGTGCAAAATTTTGTGCATAAATATCTATTAACTTTTTCTTCTGGAGAGACAGCCTATATTTCATCATATTTTCAAAGGTGTCAGTGGCCTAGAAAAGGTTAAGAATTACTATTTTATATACTGGAAGTGAAATGCAATATGCTAATTAAGGTACGCCTCAAAAAGATGTACAATACCTAGACACATCTTTGTAATCATTAAATTCATTCAAGTAGTGAACATGTATGATTCGCAAAACCTTATACCTACTTGTATCTGAAACAGAACATAATTCAAAATACCAAGGAAACAAGTCAAGATTCATTGAAACACCACACTAAAAAAGATTATCAAACAATGTAAATATAATTCCAAGACAAAAAGTTTTATAGGAAAGCATAGTACAGACAGAAAGAAGTCTAGGGGCTTAATTTAGCACTTATGTCTAAGTATCACAGAAATCAACTACATCAAAAGAAAAGAAAAACTACCCATAAACATGTCCACTCCCACACATTCTAACAGGAAACCCAAAGAAAGTTTCCAAATCCTGTTTCCAGCAGCATCTCTTTTGAGACTGCCTGTCAGCAAGCTTTTGAAGGTAGGAGCCCCAAGTTTTAAGAGCTGATATTTTACTCTTAATGTAATAAAAACATCAAGAATCATCATCTGCCACCCAAGAAGCAGAAAACAGTGTCTACCTGTAAGGCTGTGGCCCATTAATCTTCTGCCTTGTTATTCCATTTCATTTTTTATTCCCTCCTCCCTTCAAAGCGGTGACAAAATTGTCCCTCCCAAAAAGGAATACATTACTCCTCAATACTAGTTCTTTTTCCAAGAGGTCAAAGGTCCTCTAAAGGCTGGTTCTCAGGCCTATGAGGCGATCCCATTTTTCAGGCACAAATGTCTTCCTCTCATCTTCTCCCCAGAGCAATACATTACACAATTCAACTGAAGACACCGTGCTTAACTTCCTGAGGAGGAAAGTGACACTTCTACCAACCCTAGTTTGAAGGAAAATGAGAATCACACCGTGACTTCTTCCCTAACAAAATTCAGGGAAGAAGCAGAGACTCCAGGAAAGCAACAGCCGAGAAGGCGAACACATGGCATGTTACGGAAGACGTGGAGTAAAGAGGGCGGGAAAGGGGCTGGAAGGTGGAGTGGGATGTAAAGATGTCAGCCCTGTCCACTGGGGGAATAAAGGAAGAAAAGGGAGCCTGAACCCTGTCAGAAGTGAACACGCAGAGGGCAACGCTCCAGCCTCCCCGTACCTCTCTAGCAGGGGACAGAGGACAGAAAATTCACCCAACCCTCCAATCTCCTCCTCGTGTGCCCCCAAACAGAGAGCTGGTTTGAAGGAAGCTGTGACCCCAGTCTGGGGACATGCAAGAGGAGGAGAAAGGCAGAGATGTCCAATCTTCCCTATCTCTCGGGCAGTGAGGGGCGAGGGCACTGTGTCCGGGGAGATGGCGAAGGAAATGGGCTTGTGCTGTGACACCTCGAAGAGTAGGAGGGTGGGGGACACAATGTCCTCTTTCTCTCCCACAGCTGGCCCGGGCCCCTCCCGACAGTCTCCCGCAGGCCCAGCCACAGTCGACCGGCTCGGTCCGCGGGCGTGGTTGGCTCTGGCCCTGGAGGCGGCCCGGCCTTCCTAAGCCCCGGCCCCTCCCGCCGGCCAGGCCCCCGGGCCGCCGCCCCGGACACCGAGGGAACGCGGAGGAGGAAGGGGGAGCCAGGGGACTGACCAGCGACACGAACCGCCTCAGCCCCAGCTCGGCCGACCCGCGTCCCCCGCTCCCTCTGGGGCCGGCTGGGGCTCCCCGCCCCTCACTCACCCCCTTGGTCCGGCGCCTCCTCCACCTCCTCCTCCTCCTCCCTCCTCTCGGCCGTGGCTCCTGCTTCGGCTCTGCGCGGCGACGGCAGCAGCGGCGGCCTCGGGAGCGGCGGCGGCGGCGGCGCCTCCAGAACGCGCACGCACGCAGCACGCAGGCCCCGCCCCCTAGTTCCACCCCGCCTCTCTGAGTCCGCGTCGGCGAGTCTTCGGCCCCGCCTTCCTCGCGGCGCTGGGGAGTTCGCTTAAAGGAGCCGCGTAGGAAGGGGCGAGGAGAGGCGAGAACTACTGGGAAAGGAGCGCGGAGTTTCGTCTTTGCAGAGGGCGGAATAGCGGTTGGGTAAGGCCAGAAATGGAATGAGGAGGTGTCCAAAGATTCAGGAGGAATAAAATTTGGAGGGAACGCAACCATTGGACAAGTACTAATTGAGCACCTATTAGGTACCAGGCACTGTACTAGGCGCAGGGGATAAAGCCATAGAGACAACCAAAGGCCTTCGTGGAGTTTGCATTCTAGTCGGGTGGGAGAGGGAGACAGACGACAAACAAGTGATAAAGTTGCAGATAATAATAACTGCTGTGGAGAAAAATAAAGCAGGGCATGGGATGACTCTATAGCTGGTTAGATGTTACCTTTCAAAGAAGACCTTTGAGCATATACACGCATGATATGAAGGAATAAGCCTAGCAAACACTGGGGCGGGGTGGGGGCTAGGTAGAAACAGCATTTCCAGGCGGAGAGAAAATCAGCCATAAACCCAGCAGGGGGTGGGGGGCATGCACCTACCTTGTTGCTGGAACAGCAAAAGGCTGGTATGGCTGAGCACAGTCAGTCAGCCAGAGAGCAGTGTATAATAGAGAGGTGAGAGGTCGGCAAGTGGCCAGATCCTGTGGAGCCTGTGGGCCATTATAAGAACAACTGGAAGCCAAGGGAGGAGGGTGAGCCAAGGAATGACCACATCAGATACACACATTTTTAAAAATTAGTCTTGCTGATGTGTGTCAAATAAACAACAGGGAAGCACAAATGTCAGGAGGGAGACCAGTTAAGAAGGCTGTTCATGGTAGCTTGGACTAACTAGGATGGCAGCCGCATACAGGATGAGAAGAGAGCTATTTTATTTTATTTTTTAAAGACACATTTTGATTAGAATGCATTTGGATTTGGGGGACAGTGTGTGAAGAACAAAAAGATCAGGGATGGTTCTTAGTTTCAGGGCCATTCAATGAGATGGGGAAGAATCAAGGAGAAGCAAATCTGGGGGTGGGGGAGAAACCAAGAATTCAGTTTTGCGTGTGTTCTGTTTAAGATGCCTGTTATAGGCCGGGTGTGGTGGCTCACGCCTGTAATCCTAGGTCTCTGGGAGGCCGAGGCGGGCGGATTGTCTGAGCTCAGGAGTTCGAAACCAGCCTGAGCAACAGTGAGACCCCCGTCTCTACTAAAAATAGAAAGAAATTAATTGGACAACTAAAAATATATAGAAAAAAATTAGCCTGGCATGGTGGCGCACGCCTGTAGTCCCAGCTACTCGGGAGGCTGAGGCAGGAGGATTGCTTGAGCCCAGGAGTTTGAGGTTGCTGTGAGCTAGGATGACGCCACGGCACTCTAGCCCAGGCAACACAGTGAGACTCTGTCTCAAAAAAAAAAAAAGATGCCTGTTATACATTCAAGTGGAGATGTGGAGTAAAGAATTGGCTATGTGAGTCTAGAGATTTAAATTTGGGATTCATCAGCATAAAGATGCTTTTAAGCCTTAGATCTACTTAGGGTCACTTAGGGAGTGGGAGTAGCTGGAGGAGAGGACCACACTTGGAGGTTAAGTATAATAGAAAAGGAGTTACCAGTCAGGTAGGAGAAACACCAAGAGAGGGGTGAAGTGTTGAAAGAGAATTGTTTCAGGAAGGAGGGCATGATCAGTCTTACCAGATACTATTGAAATAAAAAGAGGACTGAGACTCTGAACACTGGATTTTGCCTGATCGAAGTTGCTGATGACTTTGATGAAAACAGTGTCAGTGGAGTCATAGGGGAGAAAGTCTGATGAGGATGTGTTAAGAGAATGGGAGGTAAAGAAGACAAATGATTTATACCAAGTCTAAACAGCTCCTGAGGAGCTTTGCTTTAAAGAGCAACTGAGAAATGGGCAGTAGCCACAGGGTACTTGGGATCAAGGGAGAGTATTTTAAGATGGGAAATGCTTCCTCACTTTGGTATCTTGGAATGACCCTTCAGAGATGTAAAGTTGATGATGCAGAAGACAGGAGGAGAAAACTGGAGAAAGACTATCCCCAAGTAAATGAGAAACAATGGGACCTAGCACAGAGGTGAAGGGGTTGGCCTTGAATAGGAGCAAGGACAGTGTGTTCGTTCACACACTGTTTTTGGAGAGAAGGTAGAGCGTGTGGGTGCAGATGCAGGTAAATCAAGCAATACATTTGGTGGTGGCATGCTCAGGCCACTGCAAAGCAGAAGGGGAAGGTGGGGGGCTGAAATTCAGCCCTTGTTTTGCCCACCAAGCTGTGTGGCCTGGTGGGGCCACGTTAGTCTGGAGGAAGGGGCACTTTTCCCAATTGATCTACCTCTAGGGGTGGTGCTTTTTAGCAGTCCAACATAAAACACACTATCTATGCACCTCTTCCCAATTCACACTGAGTACTTACTGGGATGGATGCGTAATACCTGGTCTGTGTGCTTTCCTTTACTCCGTGCAATAAAAAGCCGTGAGTGGGCAGAGGCTGTTGGCTATTTAAGAAGACAGAAGAAGGTGAGAAACAATGCCCTTGAAGAGTGGAAGAGTGACTGGAGAAGTGTAGTATGGACAACACTGTGGGCCCTCTGGAGTTGAGACCACTCAGCAAGGTTGAGTGAGTCTCCAGCTACACTCCAGTGCCTGGGGGTTGGAGAATTGTATTTGACGGATGAAAGTCAATGAGAGGAGTAGGGGTGTTATGCAAGGGGGCAATTATGGTGATAGACCTTGAAATCTAAGCTGGGAGGGGAGTGATGGTTTGGTGGTCCCTGAGGGAAGGAATATCTGGAGAGGAAGCAATCAAGTAAATGAGGGCAAGGGGACTTTCCCAGGATTGAGCATGGGGAAGGGTGAGTGAGGTGGTTCCGGGAGAGGAAGTATAAAATGTCTGTGAGAAAAAAGGGTTTAGGCTGGCAGCAAGGAGCTAAGGAAACAGCAAGGCCCTGGGGCAGGCCTCGGCACAGCGTATGGGAGCCATTGGCCTCGTGAGGTCGAGGAGCTGGATCGACCACCTGTTGTCTTCAGAGAGCCACACAAACTGGGGAGAAACTGAGCGCAGGAGGGGATAAGCAAATTAGGTCCTGCGGGGGCTCTGTTACAAGCTTTGAGAGAGCTCAATGGGTGCTTTTCTTTTCCCACCCTTTCCTTTTGCCATGGACACTCAAGCATTTGTGTAGACACTTTATTTTGCCTGGTGTTTGACAGAAACTTAACTGACATCTTTCCTCCTAAACCTGGCTCTTCCTCTTCCTGGGTTCCCTTTTTCTGCTCATGGCACTACCTGTCTCAGTCAGCTGCCAAACCTCAGTGTCCTGTAATCCTTCTTCTTCATCCTATGCCCAATTAGTCCCCAGACTGTAGGGAGCTGAGCTAACAGAATGTTCCCCCATGATGCAAATGGTCTTTTTCTGCATAGTGCAATACAGTAGTCACCTGAGGCTACTGAGCACTTGCAAAGTGGCTAATGTGACTTAAGGAACTGAATTTTAAATCTTATTTCATTTTAATTAAATTTAGATTTAAATACCTGCACATGGCTATTGTATTGGACTGCACAGGTATAGATACTATCCTTCCTACACAATGGCTCTTCCATCTGCCTTTACCTGTCTATCTCCAACCAGAGGTGGTGAACCTGTGGCCTTGGGGCCACATGTGGCCTTCCAGGTCCCCAAGTGCAGCCCCTTGACCGAATCCAAACTTCATTAAACTTTATTAAAACTTTATTGAAAGGATTTGGTCTATAAAATTTGGATTCAGTCAAAAGGCCACACTCAAGGATCCAGAAGGCCACATGTGGCCCCAAAGCCCCAGGTTCCCCAATCCTGCCAGGCAGGCAGCCCTTCAATCCATCTTATATTCTTGCCAGACTATCTTCCTAAGGCAGTGGCCAGACCACGACTCCACTCTGTTTTTTAAAATTAATTAATTAATTAATTTCGGACCACCCTGTTTTAAAAATGATCCCTAGTTCCCCGTCAAATTAAATACAACCTATTCAATCTGCCACTCTCCATCCTACTTTTCCAGACTTACCTTTCAGTCCACCCTTACATATATGTCGAACTACTTGCTATAATTCCTACCAACTTTTTACAGAGGAGCCAGCTCATTAAATTGTCTCTCTTCCTGCAACAAATGCCTCCCATCCCCTCCACCAAACCTAAAACCTGTTGAAATCCTTGAAGGTTTGCCTCACATTGCAGCTCCCAACTGGAGCCCTCCTCTGAAGTCCCATGGTTTCCGTTTGTACCTCCTCTGTGGCACTTATATGCTGCCTTGTAGTACATTTGTGCATTCATTTTATTCCCATTACTAAATATTACTCCTTGCAGGTCACTGAGTTTTTATTACGTTAGTGCCCCTTGCAGTGTAAGTCTTGCACCTTATAAAATGAGGTACTTACTCCTAAAAGAGCCACTGAATTGAGCTAAACACTTTCTTGAAGTCTGTAGAGCATTCATTCCCTTGTCCAACTCTAATATTAATAGTAACATCACTAATCCTCAAAGAGAAAGTCTTTATACCCTTTAAGAAACTTCCCTAACATGAAATTCATACTTTTGAAGAGAAACAGATTAATTATACTTGTTTTTCATGTTACTGTTGGCTGAGAATTTCTTCCAAATGCTTCCCAAACTTAGGATACTTACACTACTCAGTTATAGTTTGTAATTCTCGAGAGTGTGGGTATTCGTAGAACTGGCAGGACCAGCATAGCTACTGCTAGGATCAATTTATGGAAAAGGCATTTAAGAAGCATTCAGATTGTGCTACAATCAATAAAAAGAGGCTTCCATCTAATAAATGTATTTTTAGAGCATGAACTCTTAGAAACCTGTAACCCAAGAGTAGAA